TGTCTTGTTTCTCAAATTCCTCATATCAGTGAGATCATATGATACTTGTCTTTCTCTGATTGACTTATTTCGCTTAGCATAACACCCTCTAGTTCCATCCATGTCATTACAAATGGCAAGATTCCATTTTTTTGATGGCTGCATAATATTCCTGTGTGTGTGTGTGTGTGTGTGTGTGCGCGTGCGTGTGTGACATCTTCTTTGGAAGGATGGTATTATTAATTGCGATAGAGCACCAGGTTAGTGTGCAAAATTAGGAATTTCATTCTGAACATGTTAGGTTTGCAATGCTTTTGAGAAATATAAGGGAAGGTGTTGAGCAAGCAGTTGGCTGTCCAAAGTCACTCAGAGAACAGGTATAGTTAGATATAAGTGGAGTCAAGAGCACACACGTGGTCACTGAGGCCCTGGGCATGGATAACCTGTGGAGGGGCAGAATACAGAGTGAGAAGAGGGGAGGAACTTTGAGGCTTTAGGAGCATCAACAATTACTGGCTGGTATAGGATGATGAAGTGGCAAAGGAGTCTGATAAAGAATGGCTAGAGGAAGGAAACCCAGGAGTATGTTTGGGGTGGGGGAGGGTGAGGGGCAAGGGGGTTTCTCAAAAGATAAGGAGAGAGATTTCCTGAAGGAATGAATAGCCAGTGATGTCTTTTGAAAGGTCAAGCAATCATAGGGACTGAAATGTCAACAAGAATTTATCAGCAAGGTCATCTGTGACCTTGAGGAGAGCTGTTTCTATAAATTAATGGTGGTGGGAACCAGAAAATAAAGATGGCAAGTATCATCAACTTTTCTGGAAACTTTGATTGCAGTGGAGAGATAAGGTGCCAGTCGAATGGATTTGTGTGATTAGGCTATGAACTGGTTTGTTTTTTTTTTTTAAGTAGGCTCAATGCCCAGCAGGGAGCCCAAGGCAGGGCTTGAACTCAGGACCATGAGATCAAGAGTCAGATGCTTAACCAACTGAGCTACCCAGGCGCCCCTAGGCTATTCATTTTTTTTTTTCAGAGAGAGAGAGAGAGAGAGCAATTGCACATGACAGGGTGGGGGAAGGGGGAGAGGGAAAGAGAGAATCTTAAGCAGGCTCCTCACTCAGTGCAGAGCCTACGTGAGGCTCGATCTCACAACTCTGAGATCATGACCCCAGCCAAAATTAAGGGTCCGACACTTAACCAACTGAGCCACCCAGGCCCCCCTAGGCTATTAATTTTTAAGAAGCTTATTTTTTAAGATGAAAGGGATTTGAACATGGAAAGGAGGGGAAACCAGTGAAGCAGGGATTTGATCACAGAGGTAGGAGGAGAGACAGATGACAGTAACAAGGAACAGCAATTATAAAAGTTAAATCTTGATTCAGTCTTAATTAAAATGAAAAGAAATAGGTTCTGGGGCATTTGATAAGAAGATTTCAAAAGATACAACCTTGTTGACATAGGTTGGTCATTCAAAATACTATGCTGGCTGTTTCCCTTATCAGCAAGAAAAGGAAGAGAAGGTCGGAGAATATTTCCATTCCAATGACCAAGGAACTGCCTTAGAAACCATCTAGAAAAGGTTTTATTTAAGTTTCAAACTTCACATGCTATGTCTTGTTACCATAAATCACAGCTTCTCTCTTTAATCTTGTTTCATTAAAAAAAAAAAAAGGCAAGAGGCTTTCAAAGACATTTAACTCTTAACTACAAAATTCTGTTTGATCACCCATATCTTAACCTCTTGTCATAAGACTAATGTATATCATACATAAAAGGATACCTGTTTTAAGAAATTGCTTTTTTTCTTTAGGCTATAATATATGGTTACTTTAGAAAATTAGATTTTCTCATTTACTCTGTAGTTGAACTCACCAGCCTTATGTTAATTGTACACAGAATTACACGTAGGTGTAGTTATAGGTGTAGAAACAAAAGAGAGACGTAAACACGGTCCTATGTAGTCATAGGTATAGGTATATGTTTACGTATAAATACACATAAAGCTATGATAGCATATGGCTTCCTCTGCTGGTAAAAGAGCTTGAGACCCTTTGTAAGGCCGCTTACATCATGCCGCTAATTGATTTTAATCCAAACAGGATGCCAACACAAGTTTTCAATCCAAACACAACTAGGTTTGATTTTTCCATATTCTGTAAGAAAGGAGCAACTGAGGGATGGTGTGATCCATGGTGTCAAAGGCCATGGAGAGGTCAAGGGGGAAGAAAGTTGAAGAAAAGGACCCACTCCGACAATGGCTGGGAAGTCTGGTGGTCTTTTCAAATGTGTTGTACAGATGGGTGTGTGAGAGAAAATGAAATCTCTGGAAAAGATCAGGTGATGGGAAAAATGAAGGTTCACAAAATGAAGAACAGGAAGGAGAGCGAGAGTATCAGTATTAAGGGGAAATTCTCTTGCAGGAGCATGGGAAAAGAGAGAAGAGGACCAATGTAGAAGTGAGGGATGGGGGAAATATTCTTAGCATTGAGCTATTAGCTAGGATTAAAAATCATACTCCCCCATTTTTATATTTTTTGACCTATTTTCATTTTCTTTGTGTTCTTCTGGGAACAAAGATCTCTTTTTGAAGCCTTTGCTTCCTTTTATCATTTAATAATTGCTTCTATTTTTCAGCTTTCACTGAAAAGTCTCTTTTTCAGTCCTAGGAATGCACTGGCATTAAAGGTGAGAAACAGAAGCTTTACTCTGAGCTCTTCCAAAGAAAAGCACTTTAGAAATCAAAGGCATTGCTATATTGTTATTATTCCCTCCTTTCCCTCAAAGCTTGGCATGACATTAGCTCTGATCCTCAAAGAGGAGTCTTTTAGTTTAGCCATTATATTAATAATCTGTGCCTCTAAAAAAGGAAAGGATATCTAAACTGATCAACTTAGTCCAATAATCTTCTCTTTCCTTTAGTTCTGGTGCTATGGATCTGATCCAGGAACCAGAAATAGGAGCACTGTGACTCATTTTATCTTCCACGTAAATTACATCCAGCAATGCATAAATTGTAACAGCATATAGCCAAGCTCTACCAGTTCCGTGCAAACAGAGATGCACAAGCTCAATGGGCATTGAAAGCATGAGATATTAACTCATGAATAATCCTTCTGTATTCTTACACAGTTATATAACCAGTTGTTTATTGTAATGATAATTTACATCAATATTGGAATAATAAATAGAAGATGAACATAAGATTTTAGAAATAAGTAATAAATATTCCTAAGTACAAGTTATTATCTATCAAGACAAATTGGATGGATCTTAAAATCCTCAGGAAACAACAGTAACTAGCAAAACTCCTAGATAATATTTTCCCCAAAAGGTAGCTCCATGAAAGGTGTCACTCATAGAGACATATCTAAATACTGTCTAAGGGGAAAGAAGGTTTTAAACGAGAAACATAATCCATACTTGGCAGTTCATATAGTTGGAAGTCATCTATAGATAAGGAGGTTTAAAAAGAAAATATTTTAAGAAAAGGTGGATGTAATTCCAAGTTGTGATTGTTCAATGTGTTTAATAACTATACATATATAAATAATATATAATACATAAATATATATATAGAGAGAGATGCAACATGTGTGAAAAAAGCAACTTGAGCTCTTTGTGTCTATTGATCAACTGAATTTATTTACATCCTTATAGAGCCAACCTAAATTGTAATAAAGGACATTTATTTCCAAATATTTCCATTATTTGGAAATAAAAGAGACATTAAAAGCCTACACAACAGATGACAATTTTAAGAAATAAAACAATCTAATGCTAAACAAGCACAAAGAGTTTAATAACTCTTTTTCCCAATGGTTAAATTGGGAAAATAAGTCCCGTTGGAACATGGAAATATTTGGTGAAGATATTCTGAGGATTGAAGACAACAGTTTTGGATACCCTAAAGCAAAACCAAATCAGAGAATTATTTTTCTTTGTGTGTTAAAGATGGCATAGATTATAGGAGTTCTGCACATGTGTCTGCTTCTTTGAAGGTCAGAGTGTAGGCTCCATGTTTTGTTCACTGATACACCCCAAGATATTAGAACAATATCTGGCACACAATAATCACATATTAAGTTAAATGGTTGTTGACATTCCCAGCATGGATTTGGTAGAACAAGGTGCCCTGCACATGGTCTATAATTTTAGTTATAATTATTGATCTCAACAACAAAAATATAAAAGTAGAAAACACCCACTTATTCCTTAAAGTTTACAAAGAACTTGCAACTCATATTCCCATCCAGTCATCTGGGTTCATTGCTGCCTGGAAGCGGTGGTTTACTAGGAGCCCACAGTGGAGCTCTGCCTGGTGCTTCATTCCATTCTCTCCTCTGCCACTTGTGGGTTGAACTGTGTGCCCCCAAAACTCAAATGCTGAAACCCTAACCCACAGGGCCTCAGATGTGACCTTACTTGGAAAGAGGGTCATTACAGATGTAATTAGATATGTTAGGATGAAGTCATATAGGATGAAGTAGGATGGGCCACATATCCAATATGACTGGTGTCCCCTTAAGAAGGGCAAATGTGGACACAGACATGCCCTCAGGGAGGACATCACGTCAAGATAAAGGGAGAGATCTGGATGATGCTTATACAGACTTGGGAATGCCAAATGGTGTCTGGAAACCACCAGAAACCAGGAGAGAATGTGGAACAGAGTCTCCCTCCCAACCCTCAGAGAGAACCAACCCTGCTGACACCTTGATCTTGGACTTCTAGCCTTTGGAACTGTGAGAAGCATTTTTGTTAAACCACCCAGTTTATGGGACTTTGTTACGGCAGCCCTTAGCAAACTAACACAACTACCTACTCCTCGCAACTTGTCAGATTTCCTTTCGGAGGCACTGGTAGCCTGACCTCACTCCCACTGAGCACTGTCTTGTTCAGCTCTCAGAATTCACAAGCTCTCCTCCAATTTATTCCAAAGCTCCCGCAATTATACATTGTCAATATCCAACACATTCTTCCATTACGTTACATAGCAATTACATCTGATACATTTCCCTCACCTTCTGCTTGCTCCTGTGCTTGGGGTGGTGCCGTAACCTGGAGGAGGTGGTGGAAACCAGGACTGTCTGTTAAGAAACGACATCAGTTATAAACATGGCACTTGAAAGACCTGATCCCACCCACATGTCTACCAGGAAAAGCTGAAAGTAATTTGACAGCTAAAAGGCATTGAGATGACTTTTCTACAAGCCTTGGAAATAAAATGAAAACTATTTCATAAACTCAATAGGAAATAACTAAAATAACTATACTATGGTCTAGGCTCTCTGCTCCCCAAGTAAGCTCCTTTCCCCATTTTCTTGACACTAAAATGTGGACATTTAATTAAAAAGAAATATGAAAAGAATCTGGAAAATAATATTTGTTAAATCTAGCTGGTGGGTTCATGGGTGTCTATCATCAACATACCTCTTTTTCTATTTTCTGCACACCTGAAATATTTTATAATCAAAACCAACCATATGCTCACTCTATATTTAGAGTTTTTATAAAAAAGCTCCATGATAATGGGGCGCCTGGGTGGCTCAGTTGTTGAACATCTGCCTTCGGCTCAGGGTCATGATCCCAGGGCCCTGGGATTAAACCCCCTGTCGGGCTCCCTGCTCCACGGGAAGCCTGCTTCTCCTTCTCCCACTCCCCCTGCTTGTGTTCCCTCTCTCGTTGTCTCTCTTTCTGTCAAATAAATAAATAAATATTTTTTTAAAAAAAAAAGCTCCATGATAAAAAGAAAACTCTGAAAGTAAGAGTATTGAAAACATAAGTGAACACCCTACTAATGCTAACCTCAATTATGTATACATACATACATATGTATATGCATATATACAAACACATATATATCCAATTAGAAAGATGTCTTCACATTACCAGGACTTAATTTTAATTGATAGAGATAGCTTAGGGGCTATGTCAGAAAGACTTAAATATGGACCAAAAACGAAGATGTTTAGAGGAGAGTGACATGTCAGAGAAAGTCCAGGGAAGGAAAGGCTAGGATAAAGAAGCCAGGAGAGCTGGCTTTAAATTCTTGAAGCAGGTCTATTCTCTGAGGTACCACAGGACTGAACTAAGAGAGATGGGCATAAATCAAAGCAGATTTCAACTCAATGTAAGTAGTCAATTCTACTCACAAGAGCTAGTCCAATGTATATCACAAAAGTAGAGTCTTATTGCTGGCTTCAATGATCCTGAATTATGCCTAGCCTGTCAGAGGAAAGATTCTTGCTGTGGGTAGGAGATGTGAAATTTGGGTCCAAGAGAAAGGTAATCACATTTTCTCAGACTCCACAGACACACCAGAATTCCGACTGCAGGAGCGTTTTGGCAATCAGCCAGGCAATCAACAAACATTGAGCACCTACCCAACCTAGGCACGGTCCTAGGTGCAGGCAAAGAAAATAAAAACATTTTAAAAGCACCAAGATTCATGAATGCTTGTTTTCCATTTGATCATGATTCACTAGCACTGTGTTCTCTCCAACAAGCAAAAATTGCTTCGACCATCTACATTCTGTCTCATGAAGAATATTCTGCCACCATAGGTCTAGCTACTTCTCCATGCCTACTAGATAAATAGAAGTGTCAATATGGGGACTTCGACTCTGTACTTGGAAGTAGGGTCAACCCAATCTACAGAGCAGAGAAGGCCGCAAAGATGCAGGCAGATTTCAGGAGTGTGGCAACATTTGGCCACCCCACAGTCATAATTCTTTCAGGGTAAGGCATTCCCTGTAGTAGGACTCTACTAAAGGTGTTACCTGAAGTAGCTTACTCTTTGCTGAGCTCTGTCATCGAAAACATTACTTAGATATTCTAGACCCCAAGGGACCTGGAGAAAAGACTGAATGTTTTTTTGTTTTATTAAGATTTTATTTATTTATTTATTTATTGGAGTGTGAGCTGGGGGAGGAGCAGAGGCAGAGGGAGAGAGAATCCACAAGCAGACTCTACACTGAACGAAAGCAGAGCCCCACTTGGGGCTGGATCTCACAACCCTGAGATCATGACCTGAGCCGAAATTAAGAGTCAGACGCTTAACTGACTGTGCCACCCAGGCACCCCGAGACTGCACATTTGAAATGGAAGTGAGGAGGAAAAGGAACAAAATTTGAGGACAGCAGAATCCAGTGGCTCTGGATCCCTGGAAAGGGAGGAGGGAACAGGATGAGAGACCAACTTCTGAATGCCACCGGGGGTCTGGTGGGTTGTTTGGTCCAGAAATTAATAAAGGACAGTCCTCTACAGAATGTCTGCAAGAAACAGATGCAACCAGCCCATCATACCTCTTTTTCTTTACAGGAGTTGTAGCAGAGGTGGGAGCTGCGGTGCTGGTGGTGTTGGCACTGAACGAAACTCCAGGTTGCCTGTTTAATCACAGCCACAAATCACATTCTTGAAACTCTTTTATGCTGTCCCACCTTTGAAAGGTCTTATCATCTATTCATATTCCCACCTGCTCTTTACCCACCACAACATATCTCAATGGACAAAAGAAGAACAGAAAACAAGTCCTTCCTTAGTTTACCATTTTATAAATCGTCAGGCCTTCATCTGAGTAACTAGAACTGAAGGAACTGAAGGAAATCATTCATTATATGACATCGTGTGTCTGAAATCCGGACCAATGAATTCTGATGTGCTCTGGATTCATATTATATATTTATTCCTGTGTATACTATGACTAACAGAATTATATTGCAGTTTTTTGCATTAAAAGCATTAGATTGTTTAAGAAAACATTTAAAAAATCACACCATTTTAAATCTCTATTTAGCATTTATTAATATACATAGACCTCCCCCCCCCCCCAAAAAAGGACGTAACCAAGCCTGTTTCAACGACTGAGAGGTGTGGTCCAAGGTGAAAATGACTTTATTTGTAAATACAAATTTAAAAACCAATTCTGTTTTCAAAAATCCACCTAGTTTGGCTGTTTATAATCACCAGTAGTACATTTCAGAGAAAATGTACTTCATCTAAATTGATTGCTAGCAAACCTATGATTTCATGACTCAGTTGAATTGTAATGTGATGGGGGTTTTGAAAGACAAGTGACATAGGGGAAGAAAGTTAGTGGCCATAAGAACAGGGAAAAATAAAGGTCTCTGGGGGAAAAAAACTAAAAATCAAATGGGTGATGGGCATTAAGGAAAGTACTTGTTATGATGAGCCTGAGTGCTGTATGTAAGTGATGAATCACTAAATTCTACTCCTGAAACCAATATTATACTGTATCCTAACTAACTGGAAATTAAATAAAAATTTGGAGAAAGAAAAAATAAAAAGGAAAAAATAAGACAAAAAGTTAAAAGAAAGAAAGAAAAGAAGAAAAGAATGACTTAAGTTCAGGTGTTTGGTTAGAGCAGAGGTTGGTAAACTTTTCCTGTTAAAATCCAGATAGTAAATATTTAAAGCTTCAGGGACCATTTTCTTATTTCTACCAAACCCTGCCTAAGCAACGGGAGTGGGGCTTTATTATAATGAAACTTTGGCCTGAGGGGCATATACCCTAATTTTTCTTGAACTCATACAAAGAAATACACTTTATTCTTAAAATGTAACTTCAGTGAGAAAAATACATACATCTTTGTTGCTTCTGGTGATCTAAACGTGGACATGTTTCTGGTAAAAAGAAAAAAAGGCAAAAGTTTGAGCAGCAACAAAGAATGAATACTTGCATCAATATGCAATTGTCCATGAATTTAGAGTTGTTATTTAAAGTAGACATTATTTGAGAGAAAGAGAAAGAAAGCATCCGTATTTGAATAAATTTGATAAGGTGATTTCATGATCTTTTTGTCTTGTACTAGATTCTAAAGGAAATCATTTTATTTCAGAAAATTCAGTTATTGTTTAAGTTCAACATTTTTATTTGTTGAGTTCAGTAATTTTCTTTAGCAATAAGAATGTAAAATGGGCATTTACATGTATTTCATACTCTTGCCACCAGGATAACTTAAAACAAAAACATGAATGTGGTGAGAATGATGACCTGAAGCAATGAACTCTCTCAATTTTTTAAGCAAGGCAACAGGGACGCCTGGGTGGCTCAGTTGGTTAAGCATCTGCCTTGGGCTCAGATCGTGATCCCAAGGTCCTGGGATTGAGTCCCGCATTGCATTGGGCTACTTGCTCAGTGGGGAGCCTGCTTCTCTCTCTACCTGCCCCTCCCCCTGCTTGTGCCCTCTCTCTCTCTGACAAATAAATAAATAAAATCTTTTAAAAAAATTAAGCAAGGCAACAAAGATTTTCTATTTCTCTAACCATGAGGAGGAATAAAGGTATTTACTCCAGAATTTTTGTGTTTAAAAAATAGAGGAAAAGAATTTACAGAAATATATCAAGTAGGAAAGAAGAATTGTAAGTAAATAAGTTATGCTCAGAAAAATATTGTACTTGGGTCTTTCCCAAAGTCAATAGATACTGGTACCTATTGGTTAGTCGGTTATCCAAGGTATTGGCCTTATCTGTTTTAGCGGCATCATTTCTGTCTGAGATCCTTTGTAAAGAAACAAGACACAAGTTTGGATGAACATTTAGATCATTAAAGTCCTTTCAGACCTCTTTCATGAAAGAATAACTCCACAATATAACCTTTTGCTGGTAAAGAGATTTGTTTTCAGGTGTTACATTTTAGAATATTTTGCAATTAAAAAAAAAAGCTACTTAAGACAAAATCTGTTTATGAGGCTATTATACAGTTTGGAATTTTTATGGTTTATGCCTTTCTACTAGATGCTCTGATTCATTGAGCATTTAACCCACTATTTTATATTCATTATTGTTTAATAATACAGTTGACCCTTGAACCACATGGATTTGAACTGCACAGGTTCACTTACATGCAGATTTTTTCGATAAATACAGTACGGTACTGTAAATATATTTTCTCTTTAGGATTTTCTTAAAAACATTTTCTTTTTCCTAGCTTACTTTATTGTAAGAATTCAGTTATGTATAACATACAAAATATGTGTTAATCAACTGTTTATGTTATCGGAAGGCTTCCAATCAATAGTGGGTTATAGTAGTTAAGTACTGGGGAGTCAAAAGTTCTATGTAAATTTTCGATTGCATAGCACCCATAAACCCTGTATTGTCAACTATACATCCAGTCAGTGACAGTGTGCTTACCAAGTCTGTAAAAGACATCAGTGAAAGACAAGTATTTTTTAGATATTTTGTGGCACAGACAATGTTATATGTTTGCCAAACTAGTTTTCTTTTCCTTCTGAGCACACAGGAAGACCACATTTCCCATTCTTCATTGCAGTTAAGTTGGGACCATGTGATTGAATTTGAGACTAAAGAATGTGGGCAGAAATGTTGTTTGCTACTTTCAGACCCATCATAAAACCTCTTGTGTGATCCTCCTTGCTCTTTCTTCCTCTTCCCACTACGGTCTTGTTGTGCATGGGTTGAAGATGGTAGCATCAAAACATGAACTTAGGTCCCTGAGTCACTTCATGGAGCTGAGACATCCCCTATCTTCCAGCCTATCACACTGGACCCTGAAGAGAGTGAATGGTAATCTTTTATTGTGCTAAACTACAATAGATTTGGGGGCAAGAGAGGGAACTTGTTAAAAGAGTTCTCTACCCTGGTGAATTAGTTTACTTTGACTAACACATTTGGTTAATAGCCTCTACTGGCCATCAGAGGTTTTAATTCCTCAAATATCAGATCTCCTCACGGAGGTCACATCTGGAAAAGGTGTATTTGTCCCCTGTGTCAGAAAAGACAAATCCCATGGTCTCCATGCCAATGGTGGGCTCTCATGACTGCAGACTCTCCTTCCCTCACATCAGAGAAGAAGGTTCTTCCTAAGACATGGGACTATCCCCTGGAGCATTCTGCAGGCTTGCACAACACAAGGATGTAGCAAAATTAGGCTCAGGAAAACAAAAGGTCAGAAAAACCTTTCTGTTGATCCGACACTAGGGGTCTACTATAACTTTCTCTAAACTTTCAATTTTACCATCAGCTTTAGTACATGGCTTTATATAAACTATTCCTGGAAAGATGGGCACTAACTTTGCCTCACTCTAAAAAAAAAATTAATGTGGGAAAAACATATGACTTAACTGTCATGAGTTTAAAATGATTTCAATTCCTTGATATGTGTAACTAAAATATTGGGTAAATAACTCTAATACATTAAAAGGCTATAAGTCAACTCCAAACACGTTTTTGTTTATAGCACATAATGCCACAAACTGATAACACTTGAATGGAAAAAGGAAGGAAGGTTGAAATCTTCCAGAACTCCATATTCTCAACAAACCATTCACAACCCAGGCATTAACTTGTACAGGCTCCTAGAATCCATGTATAAAAAACTCATGTCTAAGGTGATGATCAGGCCAAGGACTGTGACTATATCACCAGCGTTAACTGCTACTGAGCCTCTGAAATGTTTATATTTAAAAGGCTCTACAGTAAACCACTGTGAGTACCTTAAGTAAGAGGTCAGGTGACCCTAAATCTTTAATCTTAAATGTTCCTTGGAAACTCTCCTCCGACTTTATAGCTGTCATGAGACCCTAACATGAGATAAAAATAATCTTGGGAAATTTCTACTCTGGTTTGCTGAAAACAACAATCTGTCTAAAGCAAACAGAACCTTAATATCAAACATTCTCAAGGTTTACATCAAGGCAAGTTCTGATGTTAAAATTAAATGAAATTAATCAAAATTCTACACTGTGAGCCTATGTGGGCAATACTGCATGTAATAATAAAAATAGCTACCTACTCTTTGCTGCTTATTATATATACAGTTTCCTCTACTCTTTAAAATATCCTTACAAGGGAGGCGTAATTATCTTCATTTTATAGATGAAAACGTGGAGTCTCAGAGATGGTGAATGGAGTCTCAAGAAGACTTTCTCTTGGCCATCCAGCCAAGAAGTAGGGTATCTCCAAACTCTTTCCAGTAGGGCCCAATGTCAGACATCTGATTCTGTAGTGTGATTGTTTCAACGCTCACAGGCTAGGTCAACAGGTCTTCCTACACTTACTGGTTTTCACCTTCACTATCTCTTCTGTGCCACTAGGGGCATCAGTCTATGAGTAATAATGGAGAGAACTCTAACCTACCATTCCAATACATATGTCAATCTCTTTTTACTTAGGGAGATTAACTTTGTATTTCTCTTGAAAATTAAGTTTCTGCCAACTTATGATGTGAAATAGGTTGTTTTGATAAGTGTCAGTCTTGGAGACAGGAAATACTCAAATATAGTCATTTAGCAGTATGATCAAAAGAACTAGAGGAAAAGTTACACTTCCACAAGAGAACACAAGAGGGCACCATAACCTAGGTTTTCCAAATAAGTCATTAGTCGGCCTGGAGGATTTGGGCCCTATTGCATGCTACATACATTAGTATTTACTTATGTTTCTTTAGAACACCTCACACTTTTACCTACATATATATTTTAAAAAGAGAACTCCAAATATAAAGTCAGTATTTTTCTTATATTCATTCAAAAATAAATGCATTATTATGGGGCACCTGACTGGCTCAGTTGGTGGAGCATGTTGCTCTTGATCTCAGGGTTGTGGGTTCAAGGCCCACGTTGGGTGTAGAGATTACTTAAAAATAAAATCTTTAAAAAAATAAAAATAAAAAATAAAATAAATGCATTATTGAAATACATACATATGTGCATACCAGATATATTTGGTCATCTTCCTCCTAAAATTATTTCCTATCTCACATTTGGAGTGGCCGGCATTATGAAAAGTCTGACTCCTGATAGGACTTGCCTTTCTTTACCGATTTCTGAGTTCTCTCCCTCACATCTATTTCCACACTTAGAGAGATGTGGCATACTGCTGGGACTCAGGACTGCCTCGGGAATGAGCTGACCAAACATGCCACTAAACTTCTGTGTAAATAAAGCAGGTCACCTCTGGCCTCATTTTCTAGGATATAAAATGAAGAAGGATTTGGGCTAGATTGGTGGTTCTAAACTTTGGATGCATACTAGAATCACTTCATAAGCTTTAAGAATGTCCGAGTCCCACCTCAGACTAATTAAATCAGAATTTTGAGGGTGAGAGGTGGTGGGACCAAGTTATCGGTAAAGTTTAAAAGCTCTCTTAGTGATTCTAATTTGCAGCCGAGGCTGAGAATGACTCATCTTGTTAGCCTGTGAAGTCTGGTCTAGTTCATTACTAATGTTCCAAGGCTCTGTCATGACTGGCCCAACATAGACCTTCAGATCCACAGCCTACAAAGGCTTAGGTCTCCCACACATTTACCTTTCTTGAGGCATAATTATCTCACTTTCAGATTCATTCCTAGAAATAGGGTTTCCATCTTCAGTTAACGGTGCAACAGGACAGCCCACAAGGCCAACATGAATGGACTTATTTTGACTCCTCTCTCCACTCAGTGCTGTGGAGATGAGATCCTGTACATATACTTCTACAAACTCACTTTTTGCGAGGCTATTAATTACAAGAGAGAAATTAACTCCTTAGGCATACCAGTGAGGATTAGCCTCTATTAAGGGAGACTGGCTTGAAAACCTATGAATAGTACAGAAGTGTGTACATTTCCTACATGAATTAATACTGGCAAATACTGAATATAGAATCCACTAGATACCATAAATTCCAGCATGTCTACTTAAAACGCAGCAGGTGGCATTTTTGTCTACAATAGCAGCATATCTTTAGCTACAGGGAGTGACCTCAACTGTCAGTGGCCTCAGGTGTCCATGGTCTAGACTCCAACTAAAAATGTTAACTTTGCACTTTATATATGCTTACTAAGTATCTCTTAGTAATATAAGATAAAATATAAGATAAATATAAGATAAAATATAATATAAGATAAATTATATAAGATAAAATGTGATTTGTAGCATTTACACTTCAATCCAAATAGACCTTTCTCGGTGTGCCTGGGTGGCTCAGTCAGTTAAGCATCTGACTCTTGATTTCAGCTCAGGTCTTGATCTCAGGGTTGTGAGTTCAAGCCCTGCATTGGGCTCCATGCTGGGTATGGAGCTTACTTTAAAAAAAAATAGACATTTCTCAATTTTCTCCATAAAGATGAGCCCTTTTCCTCTGTGTAGGAAGGAATTAACAACAGGCACAGCGCCATGGACCCATTCTACAGGCCATATGGTTACTCTAGTGCCACCCACAAGAGTAATTTCACTTTCTAAAGTAAAGAGCCTTTATACTACAGTGGATCAAAACTATGTTATTAGTAAAACTTACAGTTTCTCTATAAAAATAGAAACTGCCGTTTTCCCACCAGTGGGATGGAAAGCCCAAAAGTTAGAATAAGAACTGACTACTCATTCACAAAAATAACTAGATTCTCCATTTTAAACTGAACAGATTCCCTGTAGTGTCCACCCTACTTATACTCAAACCAGTTTCTTCAAAATTGTTCTTATCAATCTACTACTGGCAGGATTTTGGGAAAATAGCATGTTGAGTCAAGATTTTGTGAATTTTGAAGTTGATTCCATCTGAATAGCCCTTCTGTCCCTGGGGATAAAATATCATGGTTCAAAACTTACTTTGGCAAACATTTAAATACCTCATGGTTGATTAAAAAAATGGGATTTCATATACATTTTGCATCCTGCTTACATGGTTCAAAAACACCTTACCTGTCTAAAGTGTCATCAGATCTGTACCGACTAATCGTAGCTTTTGGCTCATCTCTCTCATTTGCTTTCCTGTAGCAAAAAATAATTACAGAAAGATCAAATAAATTACCAAAAAAAGTTTATAAAATCTATCATGTCTTTAGTAAAATTTTGGCCTATTTAGGTAGGAGTTGTACACGTTACCAAGGAAAGACAGATTCAGGGTATCTAAATCTTCCAAGGTTTTGACTTGGATAGAATAAATTATGGCGAACCCAACTCCCCCTGCTAATAAAGGAATTCTTCTCTGGGTCCTATTATTTCTAACTACAATGTAACATATTCAAATTGGGGATAAAGGATAGGCAAAACAAACGACATAGCATGCAAAGTGGTTAACAATTAATGTGTACTCTTATCAATACTGTTGACGTCTACATCATAGGAACTTAATCCCTTAAAATCAGATATGTTTTGTTTGCAGAACTTTAGTAGCACCGTAAACTAGCTAGCTCAACAATGGATACAAATAGCTTTATTTAAAGTTCAGCACCGTGGACAGGGTTGAAAAAAAAGAACTTGCTGAACTGAAGGGAGAGGGAAGAAAGGAAAAGAAGGAAACAGGAAAAGCTAGAAAGAAAGAAATGAAGAAAAGAGAGTGCGAGAAGAGAGAAAGGAGAGCTGTAGGGAAGAGAGGAGAAGAAAGGCGGGGTAAGGAGAAGTAGGGAGAAAAGAGACAGAAGGCAAAGAAAGTTGAGGAAGATAGGCGAGCAGAACAGAGGGGAGAGGGAAGAAGACAAGAAAAGAAGGGAAGAAAGGATAGGACGTTCAATAGTAGGAATCAAGGTCATCAAGGCAAATGGGAATATCTTGATCAGACTGATCAATCAGCAAAAACAGGCTGTTTAATGCCTTATATAACCCTGTGATACAGGAAAAGCAAGGTCTTTGATGAATTATACCATGATTTACTGTGTTTGCATTTCAAAGCATCATTTGAAGCCGACAGATCAAAGATACTGAATCTGAAAAAGCACTAAAACAGTATATGCACTTAAAATTTAATTTTTAACTTGATATAGTATACTTTTATTAAGCAAATATTTGAAGGTAAACAATATATGATTTACTGTGCTGATGACTATGAGGAAGTCAAGAATAAAAAACTATGGAATCTACTCACACAGAGCTAGAGAGACAAATTAGATATGTACACCCAAAGGCAGATAGTGGCCACTGTCATAAAAGAGGTTCGGGGAAAGGGAAGGAAGTTCTAAGGTGAGAAAGTTTATTTCTAGGTAAAAGAATCAAAAAGGGCTTCATAGATAAGGCGCAGTTTGAGCTGGGCCTTGGAGGATAAATAGCTGTGAACATTTTCAAACGGAAGCAGAAGGAACAGTGTCCGTTGATGGGAGAAAAAAGTAATGAAAATTGCCTAATGCAATTCCCTCAGTTTTAAAGGAACCTCAGAGTGAAATCATGGTCTAGCCCAGCATTGTATTGAATGCATGAATGCAAACAGACACTGAAGGGCCATCTGACTCCCTTCGGTAAAACAGCCCCTTCTCAGACAGCATCACTTTATGTCTCATTAGTTGGCTTTATTCTTCCTAGCACTTATGGCAACATAACATATTATATTGTGTTTATTTATTTTCGGTCTCTCCCCTCCTCCACCTTCAACTAGGAGGCAGGTTCTATGGAAGCAGGGACTTTGTTTTATTCACAGTCCTCAGGCCAGTGTCTGGTTCACAGTAGGCATCTCTACAAGTATTGCTGCCAGGCTTATTCGACAGGTTTAAATGATCTGGCAGAAGTACATAGCGAAAGTTCTTAGTTCATGCCTACTATGAAGCTGTTATCTAGGTGAGGAGACTATATTGTTTACCTTCCCTTTCCTTTAGCCTTTTCAGTCTCTGCTCACATGGAGCTTTTTGCACACATAGCCACTTGTGCTGGAAGCACTATCTCTCCTGCTTCCTGCCCACCAGCTGCCCTTCCCAACCCAGAAACCCCTCCTCATCCTTCGAACAGCAGCGCCAACATGGAAGACCACTTTCTGGGTGTCATCTCTGATTAATTCAGGCAGAGTTAGGCTCTCTCGTCTCTACTCCCAAGGCACTCTCACACACTTCTACAATAGCACCCCCATGGTAAATTTTAGTCTTGTAGTCTATGGATCCATGTTTTTCCAGAATGTAAAGGCTCCCTAAGGTCAAGGGTGGTATCTTATGCATCTTCATATTCCCAGCACCTAGCACTATGGCAGCACATAGCAGATGTTCCAAAATGGTGTTAAGTGTCCACCAAGTGGGTACAGCCTCTGTGAAAGGGCAGAAAATGGCAAAGTAGGCATCCATCTGAGCAAGTGCAAGGAGGAAAATCATCTGCACTACCCTTCTAGGAACATGTATTTTGAGATGCTAGTTATGGGTTAAGGGGAAAACATCTCGGGCTCACACAATTTTGTTACTGAAGATAAAAGTTCAATGTACTGTTCCAGCCAGTATACAGAGGGGAGTTAGCCGGTAAAATGGAGGGAGCAATTTCCATGTGTGGCTAGACTAAAATGATCAGACTCCCTTTGGGGGTGAGAGCCAGCCACCTGAGAACAAGGTTGTAATCTTCAAAATCATGACGACCAAGGAGAGGGCAAAGGTAATCACAGAACAATCAGTCAGATGAACTAAGGCTGCGAACCAGAAAACCAAACAGATACTTTGTGTAGAGAGTTCTAAGCTCAGTACCTTTATAACAGGTCAAAATTATGAACAGGTTTAGAAGGGTTTAGAAAAATTAATAAATAAAAGTTTCTAAAATATTCAAGGTGTCTACTTTTTAAAGTCCACGCCATAAAAGACAATCACACTCCTTTACTAAATACATCTTGGTGACAGATAGACACAGGCTACTAGACCAGATAAAACTTGTGTCTGATAAATACTTAGGTTCTTCTGATGGGTGTGGTTGTTTGTATGTGTGTGAGCATAAATGTGTTTTAACAAGAGTATTATCTACTTGTTTGATCAGTCTTAGATTATTTACATTATTGTGATTATGAGTTTTCTCTGAATTTTTCTACTAATTTGCCTCAGTCTTTTTGCCACTCAATATCATTTAATGGTTTTTCACAAACCTAGAAGTTTCTAAAAAGAAGTGTACTGCCCATAAAGCAAGTGAACTCTGCTGTTATTTCTATATTTTAGGGTTACTTTTCCTAAGGTTCTGAGATATCTGGTCACATTTCTGCGGCAGCCCTTTCTTTTTCCCACCCAGAGGGGTACCTCCATGGATTGGTTATTCTATACCTCCAAGCTGTGGTTCTAGAAGCATGAAGCTGGAGAAGCACAGACTTTGCTCTGTGGAAACTCATAATGATATCACAGAGTCTTCCAGAATGCCAGGGAAAGCCTGAGGCTAGCCACAAATATTCAGCCTGTCTTGAACAAGTCTTCTCTCAAAACTGTTGTCTTTGTGTTTCTGCTAATGATGTAACTTGTCTGAAACACCCACCTGTCCAAGGCATCATGGGAGTTATGTCGGTTGAGCACCACCCTACCATAATTTTCATCTCTGTAAAGAAAGAACAAAACTAAGTCACATGGAAAGTTACCACAGTATTTGGTAAGCACTAAATAAGGGAGACAGGAAAGAGCTCACAATTTAGAGCAAGATTAATTCATCTTATTTCAGGCGTAAGAACACAACAATACATTTATTTTTACCAGTCTCCCCTTGAAAGAGCATGGTGAAAAGAAACAAGTTTGTCAGTACAAATGATCATTATTCTCATATACCCCCTGAGATTTCCATATGATTCAACAATGGAATGAGTGTTATTTATTTTTTTTCTATCAGAGTGTGGGAACATGTATGTGGACATCTACTTTGTGTACATTGTAAGAGTCCTTTTCTGCAGGAAGGCAAAAGCTTTCACAAACATGTCTTAAATATAACTAAGTCTTTTATATGTAGACATTTTCATCTGATGGACTTGATAGTTTTCCTTGACAAAAAGCAGGAAAAAAAGTACCAATATTTATGGTTAAGAACATGGATCATTCACAGGATATTTGGCCCATTTTTGAACCATGAGAACTGTTTGGTCCTTAAAATAATCCTATGACTTAGGCAAAGAAGGCCTTGTCATACCCAATTCACAGAAGAAGAAATTGATCAGAGATTTTGAAATTGATCAGAGAAAAAATCGGAGACTTCCTAAGACCAAAAGGTTAGTAAGTGACAGGCATGGATCTAGGACCCAGATCTTTTTATTTCAAACTTTTGCTTTTCCTCCTAGTTAACCCTTCATACATAACCCTTCCTACATACATAGACCTTCATACATAAAATTCCAAACAGTGTCTTTCTCACTTTGTACAGCAGACCTGAAAGTACAGGCAACTAGGAAATGTCAAAACATGTAGTAGAGCTTTTGGCCTTGAACCAAGTACCCGAACCTTTTTCATGTCAACCCAGCCAAACCTGAAATACCACATTGCTCCTAGTTCTGTTCCCCTAATGTTACTCAACACTCTGGAACTATTTATAATAAAGCTATACAAGAAACTGAGGTAGATAATTAAAAAGAAAGATGAACAGTGAAACTGAAACAATTCCAGCAAATATACACCCTCAAAAATCCCAAGAGAACTTTTCCATCTTTCTTGGTATCCAGTTCCCTAAACTTGTGAGAGAGTAGCAGACACCAGATGCATTCTGACCTGAAGAAGAATCATAACACACAGTCCAGACCTGGACCAGTAGGAGTGGGGGAAACATTGGAGCCCGTTTTGCCTTCATTCAGCAGCTGCCATGCCATCCAAACTGGCTTCCCTGGGCCTTTATAAAGGAGGCGTGCCTGGCATAAAACCATCATTCCTACCAATTATAATTTGTCTTAGACATCTCTATCCTCACCAATCTGTGCAAATATTTGCAACACAGAATTTATGATTCACATTTGACATCACTCAACCACTATAGAAAAAAAGAAGTGCCATATTAGGGCTCTGAGAGAAGTAGTAAATGTGTGTTACTAAAGGAAATGATGATTGTCCAAGAATGTTAACTCCAAAAGTCAATGTGAGTCTCTAAATACCTCTATATTCCCTTAAAATAATAAGATTTAATAACAGAAATTAATAGACATCTTCATTTAACAGTTATAAATATGTTCCTCAAATAACTATATATGGGCACTTTAGTAGTAAGTATCCTGCTTAGTTGAGAGTAAGTATCCTATAGAGCTTTTCAAGTTCAGCGCTATGACACTATGGGCTTGATAATTTTGTATCATGGGGAGTGCCCTGTGCATTGTAGGATGTTTAGCAGCATCCATGGCTTCTACCCACTAGATGTCAGGAGTACTCCCTAATTTTGATAACTGGGCATGTCTCCAGATCTTACCAAACATCCCCTGGGGATAAAACTGCCCCTGAATGAGAACCGTTGGTGTAATATACAATAGGTCATGTTAAAATCTCAACTCCATCATTTAATAGCTGTGTGGATTGGACAAGTTACTTAACTTTTCTGAACCTCAGATCCCTCTTCTATAAAATAGAGGATGTAATACCTACCTTGTGTGATTTGTGAGATTTAAAGATGCCTTATATGTAAAGTATGTACCTGTACACAAGAGGGAATCAAAAAACATACGCATATGTATATATGTAATTTATCATAAATATATCTAGGCTAGACAAATGTCTGTTATAAATCTATGTTGGCCATGAGGCAATATGCCTACAAGTGTAGTTTTCAGATCTATAACATAGAGCTAGTAGAAGCAATGCTCAAAACAGACAAAACGTTCTTGAGGGTAAATGTTTTCCTTTGCAAAGTAATACCACATTTAGCACCCACCCGATACTTAGAGATATATGACCACTGTGACTAAAATGAGGTGAGGATATATTGATTTCACTTGCACGTATAGAAATTTTAGATAAATTATTATTAAATTTGTAAATTAGGAATCATACTATTATTTGTTTGTTTCAACTGACATGATGAACATTCATGAGGAGTCTCCCTACTGTGGATTAAATATTACCTTTTGGGAAACTGCTAAGTCATGTTCTTTTCAGTTTATCAAAAAGACACAAACGTCCATTCTAGTTGTAACAATGAAACTCTGCTTTTTCTCCCTAATGACTCACATGCTCTTCATTACGTGGATAATAAAAATGGTACAAATATTCTTGAAAATCTTAAAACCAATGTATGCCTACTAAATCTTACCAAACATTAGGCCATGAAACAAAATGTTTTAAGGAAAGCACCTGCTTTCCAGATGGCCACTAGCTCCCCAGCTAGAGAATAGCTCTCTCTACTCATCCACCCACCCACCCTCTCCACACCCTCTTACTTTTCTTCTTCGGGACGTTTCTTTATCCAGCTGTTGTCTTGTAAGAAAGTCCTTCTTTTGTTAACCTCATGAAAACCCTGTTGCCTCAATGTGGTCCCCTGAGTGGTACTCTTCATATCTATCAACAGAAAAAATGGAAAAAAAAAACAAAACTGGGAGATGCAATCTCATGGGGTCAAGTGTGAGTTGTTAACCTGGGTGTCTTGAGAGGCACATCTGATTGGCCAGCATCCATCTTGTAGGCTGAGAAGTTCAGCACGGTTTCAAAATAGGATGCGCTGGTAAGAGAGAACAAATCCTACACCCCAGCACCAGAGATAACATATAAAACTGCTCCGGTGCCAAGTGAAACTTCCGGGACAGCTCATGAGGTCCTGTGTGGCACCTGGGAATACAGAACCACGGGCATGGGATAAACCAAGCCATGGTTTGGTGGTTGGCCATTTTATTAAAAAATATATATATGCTTCAGAAGTACATACAAGAGGAAAAAAAAAAGTTCACACAAGACTGCTTTACAAGTACCTAGTAAATGATAGTCAAGAAGTTCTGGTGCTTTTGATTATAAGTAACTGAATTCTTTAATCTCAGGGGAGTCAGAAGCACAGAATGTCCCACACACAAAAGAACACTTTTATTGATTTTTTAAAAAATCTTTGCATTGCAATTACATGAATAAAAGCTATAGCAGTCCTACTTTTTCCTTAAGCCTAATGTTGGCAGTTGCTTCTAAGCATTCCATATCTATATAAAAGAATTAAGAGCTATGAGTTGTTTTTCTCAGATTTTTAAATTTTCTGAGTAATGAAAATATTATCTACATTACCATTTCCCGTGGGAGACATTTTTCGCGAGGTAAAATTGGACATCCTGCCTTCCAGTAAGGATCTAAAAGAAAAATAAGGAGGGGAAAAAACACAACAATGACTCTAAGAATTTACAAGTGATTATTTCATTGGTAATGACATTTTTCTTTTTTTTTAATTTTACTTTATTATGTTATGTTAGTCACCATACAATACATCATTAGTTTTTGATGTAGTGATCCACGATTCATTGTTTTCATATAACACCCATGCTCCACGTGCAGTACGTGCCCTCCTTAATATCCATCACCAGGCTAACCCATCCCCTCACTCCCTCCCCTCTAAAACCCTCAGTTTGTTTCTCAGAGTCCGTAGTCTCTCAAGGTTCATCTCTCCCTCCGATTTCCGCCCCCCCTTCATTTTTCCCTTCCTTCTCCTAATATCCTTCATGCTATTCCTTATGTTCCACAAATAAGTGAAACCATATGATAATTGACATTTTTCAATGACATTAAGAAAGTCCCATGACCTGGTATCACAAATATATGACATCAAGTGCCCCCTAAGAACCTGAGAGTTCTTCTATTCCAATGTATTTATTTTACAGATGTAGAAATTGAGGCCAAGAGCAGTGAATGTCCCCAATGTTATCAAGCAATCGGCTGAACGAGGCCATCAATTAACTCATTTATTCAATCAATAAATAGGCATTGGGTGTGTATAGTGTGCTGGGCACTAAGCCAGGAGCTGGAGACAAAAAGATGAGTAAGAGAAATGTCTGGTCAGGTCAGTAGGGAGATAGAGACATGGAATTCACAGCACAATATGCAGAGTGCCTCTGGGGAAGCCCAAGTGAACTCAGGGCTGCATTATGACTTTGTGAGTCCTAGGCACTTTTGCTTTCATAGGCTTCTTCCTTCACACTCACACAGACACAGACACACACACACACACACACACACACACGCACATGCCCACACAGTTAAAAAGTATATTTTATGGTTGTTAATATAAAGATGAAAAGTTATCCAGGCTGGCTTAATTAGCATACTTTCATTATTATTATAATATTTATATGTTTTCTTCCATTGTTAAAAGGAATTAAAATTAGAACCTTTTTGTAGACCTCTAAAGGTATCATAGGCCCTAGGCACTGCTTTTTCTGTTTAACAGTTAAGTTGGCCCTGGGTTTCCCTGAATGTGGGATTTTCAGTTTTAAAACTGAAAAAGTCCTGAGCAAATGGGGATGGCTGGTCCCCTAGGTGGGGCATAAGGTTTTTTGCAGAATCCATCCAACCATACAATGGATGAAATGAAGGAGGGACATTAGATCTCAAGTCAGAGGCAAGTCGTAGGCCCAGCCTTATCACATCAAAATTCTGTAATTGAGGGGCACCTGGGTGGCTCAGTAGGTTAAGCATCTGCCTTCAGCCCAGGGGCTCAAGTCATGATCCTGAGGTGGGCCTCCCTGCTCAGCGGGGAGTCTGCTTCTCCCTCTCTCCCAGCCCCTCCCCCAAGCTTGTGCACATGCACACTCTCTCTCTCTCAAAAAAATAAATAAATAAATAAAATCTTAAAAAAAAAGTTCTGTAATTGAACCACAAAATGTCCCTGTAAAATGGGCTAATGAAACCTGCCATCATAGGTTTGTGATGATTTAAATGAATAACGTACATAAACATCAATCGTTAAACTACAAGTGCTATTCCAATTTAAGACCATACTATCAGGCAGCTGTTCATAGGTTTAACTCAGGGGTTCTAAAAGCCCCTGTCTCTCACCTTCTGATGCAAAAGTATCTCCTAAAATAACTTGCCGTAGGACCTGAAGTGGTAAAGACACATTCATTTGGATCACATCATTGTTTTCCTTGGGGCCTTCTTTTAGAATGTCCATACTCCAACCCTAGAGTAGGTAAGAAGTGGAATGTGCTGGTGCCCAGACCAGGTCCCCTCTACCTATCTCAGGGTTGGCAGTATGGGCTCATGATTCCTGGTGGTGCTACCTGGTTACACACCCTCCCCACACACTACAACTTACAGCCAATGGTAGAATGACCCAGGGCAAAATGTGGATCTCTTGCCTCAAGGTAGAACCAGTTCTGCGGGTGATTTATGCTTCAGAGCTCACTATGGGATCAGGCCGAAGCTAGACTAACAGAGAGCATATCCTTGCTCAGCCCCACCCCCTGCCTCTACTCCCTGCTTCCCTTTCTCCTTCCTCCTGAGAGCTTACCCTCAGTAAGTCACAGGCACCCACATTCCTCTCAGGAACTGCTTCTAGGAACCCAACCTAAGACTAACCACCAATGTAGTCAATCATGGCATTATCGTCACAGAGATCAACAGCTGTTCACATCACTAATAGCTGAGAGTCTGAAGGTCTTAGTGAAGTTAGAAAGATCTGCATTTAAAGGATGCTATTTACTGTTACCTTGAGTGTGTTGTAGTTCAGCTCCCTCATCTATCAAATGAGGTGAAACAGCTGTTTTGAAGATCAAATTAGATGACATTTGCAAAGTGTCTGATTATTGCCCGACACCCTGCAAGTACTCAAATTTTTAAAATATTTTAATTATTTGAGACAGAACACGAGCGGGGTGGGGCGAGGGAGAGGGAGAAGCACACATCCTGCTGAAAGGGAGCTCCCCCAATGTGGGACTCCATCCCAGAACCCCAGGATCATGACCTGAGCTGAAGGCAGACACTTAACCAACTGAGCCACCCAGGTGCCCCATGAAAGTGCTCAGTTTTTAGCCCCATGCTCTATCATCTTGGAAATCAGAGAACAAAGACATAAGGCAGGTGTGGTTGCGTGTGGGGAGGGGATGGAACAGCCTTAATTTGGGACACTGGGAATGCAGTGTGGGCAGCCTCTGGCTGGCTGTGTTCGAAGGTCACTAAAATTTGGCAGACAGGGGTGGAAAAGAGGCATGTGAAGACAAATTTCAATCTCAACTATTTGTTCATTTCCCCTCAGTCTGGCCCAGCTTATCTGGGCTCTTGGTTAACCTTCTCCTGTTTCTCAATGGGCTCCGATAAATTCTCTTCCTGAGCTGGTTAAGACCTGGAGAGTTCATAGCTGATTGAACTGAGATTCTGCACTGGGCAAAACGCTGAATGTATATTTGATGATTCATTTGCAAAGACTGAAAATTACATGTAAGACACAGGGCAAGGTAAATGGAGAAAAGGCATTTTTATAATTGTCTATTTGTCTATCTCTCCCAAAAGACTGAGTGTCCCAGGGGCAAGACCTAAGTCTTTCCCTTCTGTATTTCCCATGCCTAGAACAGAGTAGATGCTCCTTAGGTGCTTATTATGGGCTGAATATATCTCCCCCAAAGTTTATATGTCAAAGTCCAGTACCCGGTACCTCAAGATATGACCGTATTTGGAGACAGAGCCTTTAAAGAGATGATTAAATTAGAATGAGGCCATTAGGTAGGTCCTCATCCAACCTGTCTCATAAACATACAAGAGGAGGAATTTTGGACACACAAAGAGACACCAGGGATATATGTGCACAGAGAAAAGGCCATTTGAGGACACAGAAAGTGGCCATCTGCAAGACACAGAGGCCACAGGAGAAAGCGAACCTGACAGCACCCCAATCTTGTACTTCTAGCCTCCAGAATTGTGAAACAATACATTTCTGTTGTTTAACTCAACTGGTCTGTGGTATTTTGTTATGGCAGCCCTAGCAAATAAATAGAGTACTTATGGGAAAAGTGATTTAAATATTCCTAAAATAGTTAGGTCATTCAAAGGGCTCTGTGTCACACTGTCTCTGACTTGTGCCCTCTGCGTCTTCAACTGTCCTACTGCTCGGGGCCACAACAGCACCTGCTCGGAATGGGGTGCCCCCCAGGCATTGTCTCATCCTCGTCCTACACTCTGTGAGGTACCTATTATTACCTCCATCTCCCAGACAAGACACCTGAAGCTCAGGGAAAGGATGCAACACACCTAAGGTGGGAAGAGGCAGAATCTGCCTTCTAAACCAAAACCACCTCTTTCCACGGCAACCAGCAATAAAGCTCATCCTGAGTCATTGCAAGACTGGGCCCTGACATTAGGGTGAGAGGAAAGGGAGACCCCAGCGGTCCCCACCTGACCCCTGACATCTCAGGCTTTGGAATTGCCATGAGCTCTGCCCCCAGTGCCTGGCAAGATGAGAACCCGGACAGCGTCTGCAGCAGACAAGCCCTCACAGAGCAGGCTTCTCTGTGTGCTCTCTGATATTCTCTTAGTTATGGACAGATGTCTATGCAGAAACTTGTACAGGGACGGTCATAGCAGCATTATTCAAAACAGCCAAAAAGTGGAAACAACACAAACATCCATGGATGGATGAATGAGCACAGAGCATGTGGGATACAACATGAAAGTGCTACACTCACACATTTTACTTGGCAGTTTTTAAAAAATGACATTTTGATACATACTACAACATGAATGAAGCTTGACGCATGTTATTGAGAGAAGTCAGACATAAAAGACCACACGTGTATGATTCTACATGGATTGTTGTTTTTTAGATTTTCTTTGCTATTCTACCCATATCCCATCTCAATTCTCCTCCCAAGCAAGGCTTCTGCTGCCCCTTTAAGTTCTGCTGGGTAAGGAGGAGCATTCAGACAAGAATAATACTTTAGATGATCTTATAGTAATTTATAACTTATCTCATTTGGTTTCCACAACAACATTTAAGAGTGATATAATTCCACGACAATATGGAAGGACCTGGAGGGTATTATGCTAAGTGAAATAAGTCAGAGAGAAAGACAAATACCATATGATTTCACTTACATGTGGAATCTAAAAAAACAAAACAAACAAACAAAACAGAAACAGATTCATAAACACAGAGAACAAACTGGTGGTTGCCAGAAGGCAGGGGGGTGGAGGGACGGACAAAATAGGTGAAGGCGACTAAGAAGTACAAACTTCCAGCTATAAGATAAATAATAAGTCATTAAGATGAAAGGTATAGCATAGGAATTTTGTCCATAATGTTGTAACAACACTGTATGATGACAGATGGTGATGGCACTTACTGTA